CCTATAACTCTGAATAAAAGGCCTAAGGGAACTTATCATTTTGAGGCTCTTTTTACATCTCACTGAAGTCTGCCTTATGTATGGAGCCCGAATTCAAAGCCAATTGATTAGTTGAAAACGTTGCCTCATAAGTTAAATTGAGCATCTTTATGGTGAAAATAAGAAAGTAACACACAATAAATTTCAAATAGAATATGATCAAATTTTGTTTCTAGATCTGTTGTTAGTTCAACTGCTTCTCTTCAGGATATTATTGTCGATCTTTTGAATATTTGCTCATAATTCGTAACCTATAAGTCTCATATATATTCGGAAAAAGACATACAAAGTCTGATTCTAACTCAACACTGTAAATTTTCTTTTCACTGACTCCTATAATCGATCAAAACAAAAAGAAGAAACATATTGTTCAGAAACTTTCCCACCGTTTATTATTTTTTACATATTTGTAATCTGAAATATGTATTCTTTAAATTAATATCAAATATTTCGTGCTAGTGTATAGTGTGATAGGATTCTAAAAACAACTTGATAAGTATCAGTATGAAATCAACTCTTGCATTGTCTCATTGCTATATTGAACATTTTAATCTTTAATAGTAGAAAATATAATAGAAGCATCTAAAGTAATCAACTAAACTTGCAAAACTGAAATCGTATATTGAATGAAATATTTTATGTCATAAAACTCGTTATTCAAAATGTAATTACATATAGTTCGTATGATCTAACTTTCGGAAAATTCAAAAAAGAATTAAATAGTTCAATTAGAATTCTTTTTCTTTTTGATTGTATTTGAGATAATAAGTTTATCATATAAGATTTCTTTTTTTTCTCTCATCAATAAAAACTTTCCATTGATTAGGTTGGTGATCGATGTTTCGATCAAGGAATGTACGACGCTGCTAAACTTCTTTATAACAATATATCTAATTATGCTAAATTAGCTATTACATTATGTTATTTGGGTGATTATCAAGGTGCTGTTGATAGTGCACGTAAAGCCAATTCAACAAAAACGTGGAAAGAAGTATGATTTTTTTTTAGTTATTGATTTTTTTTCGAAAAATATTTTCTTTGTATCATTTAGATTTGTTTTGCTTGTATTGATAAAGAAGAATTTCGTCTTGCCCAAATGTGCGGTATACAAATAGTTGTACAAGCTGAAGAACTTGAAGAATTAATAAATTATTATCAAAATCGTGGCTATTTTGAAGAATTAATACAATTACTTGAAGCATCACTTGGTCATGAACGTGCACATATTGGCATGTTTACTGAATTAGCTATATTATATTCAAAATATAAACCACAAAAAATGCGTGAACATTTAGAATTATTTTGGTCACGTGTACGAAAACCAAAAGTAAATTAGTTTTTTTTTTATATAATCAAAAATTTAATATAAATAAATTTATGTTTTTTCTAAAGGTACTTCGTGCATGTGAACAAGCTCATTTATGGTCTGAACTTGTTTTTCTTTATGATAAATATGAAGAATATGATAATGCTATATTAACAATGATGGCACATCCATCTGAAGCATGGCGTGAAAATCATTTTAAAGATATAATTGGTAAAGTAGCTAATATTGAATTATATTATAAATCAATTGATTTTTATTTGGAATTTAAACCAATGTTATTAAATGATTTATTATTAATATTATCACCACGTCTTGACCATACACGTGCTGTTAATTATTTTCTTAAAGTAAAACAATTACCATTAGTTAAACCATATTTACGTTCAGTACAAAATATAAATAATAAAGCAATTAATGAAGCTTTAAATAATTTATTAATTGAAGAAGAAGATTATCAAGGTTTAAGAAGTTCAATTGATGCATATGATAATTTTGATAATATATCATTAGCACAACGTCTTGAAAAACATGATTTAATTGAATTTCGTCGTATATCAGCTTATCTTTATAAAGGAAATAATCGATGGAAACAAGGTGTTGAATTATGTAAAAAAGATCGTTTATATAAAGTAAACAAAAATTTTTCAATATTTCAATAATTGACAAGAGTTTTTTTGTTTTTTTTTAAGGATGCAATGACTTATGCATCAGAATCTCGACAATATGAAATAGCTGAAGATTTAATATCATGGTTTCTTGATGAAAAATTATTTGAATGTTTTGGTGCATGTTTATTTCAATGTTACGATCTTTTAAGACCTGATGTTATACTTGAACTTGCTTGGCGTCATGATATTATGGATTTTGCTATGCCTTATATGATTCAAATTATGCGAGAATATATTACAAAAGTAAAAATAAAATTTCATTTTTCTTTTTGTGAAATACGATCCAGAAGGAGTGTTGACATCTAGAGAGATAGAAATATAGATTCCGACGGACATCTTACAAGGGAATTTCTTCAGATATCAAAATCGCTTTTCGATCGAGATGATGTTCATTTTATGTGTGTAATATAGAAGTCTAGAATGATTTGATTTTCCGAGCCTGCGTTCTTGATATATCGAAACTTTACTAAGTTTTTTAATAAAAAGTTGTAGTCATGTGGAGAATCAACTTTCGAATTTCGACTTCAAAATTTGTATGAACAAAATGTTTAATACGATTTATGCAGCAAGTTGTAATTTGTCTAGTGTCTTCTATCCTGAGATATTCAATATCCGAAAATCTTTCATATATAAAAGTAAATTTTGTTCATTTATTTACATCTCTAGAACGAAAACCCTAGAAAAACTAAAATTTACATAATCAAATAATCTCATTAAGAACTTTGTTTGTGCAAAGTTTGCAATCGAAAGTTGATTTTCCACGTTGTCATAGTTTTTTATTGAAACAATCAGTAAAATTTCGATATCTCGAGAACATGAAGGCTCGAAAAAATAAACCATTCTAGACTTGTCTATTACTCATCAAATAAACATTGTCTCGATCGACAAGCGATTTTGACACCTATGAAGGTTTCCTCATTAGCAACGAGTCATCACAGATGTAATCATGACAAGGTCAAAGACCGTATATTAATCACGTCTCATTATCATGTATGATTGGCCGTATAAAGGTCGAAAGAAAATATCGACATGGAAAATAATTGAAACGTGCTTTAGAAGATGCTGACTAGCAAGAAACATTTTTTATTATATGGCAACATACTAATATTCTAATAGAGATCAAACACAAGTCACGAAATAAAAGGAAGTTATAATAAAGTGTCGTTTTTTTTTCTGTTTAATAAACAAATAATAAATCATCTAAATATCTCATCACATTTATAAGATTATCATAATATTGTTCGACAATATTGCTCATATGATATTGAATTACAACTGTTTTGATCTTCAAGATATAAGTGCGGATGTGTTCTTCTTTCGTACCTACACCTTGTTTTCGATATTTTTTTTCTTTTGATCTTTCTACGGCAAACCTAATATATGAAATACTTGGTTATTGCATTTCTAAAGGATTAACTCAAAGGATAATGAAGAAACATGTCCCAAAATAGACAGAATAAAATAATTTCTCTATGATTACCAACAACAACTACATCGTGTTTTGCATTTTAATCCACCAGAGATTACGCTAACAGCTTTCTTTTTTTTTTCTTTTAAATAAAATTGATCTTTGTTTTTTAAATTAGGTTGATAAACTTGAACAATCTGATCAAGTTCGTACAGAAAATGAAACAGCTAATGATCAAAAACCAATTGATTTCAGTGGTAAGTAATACAACAAAAAAAAAAGAAGAAAAATAAATTGAAATTGATTTGAATGTTTTTTTTTCTTGTAGCTCAAGGTCCATTAATGATCACTGGACCTGGTATGGGTGTTTATCAACAACCAGCTTTTGGTATGGGTGGTATGTATCCATCATATGGTGGTGCACCAGGTTATTCGGGATATTAGAAAAATATTTTTTTCCTGACAACCAAACAAACAAAAGAAAAAACTCACAAACATTTGAGTGTGTGTTTCGTTTTTTTTCTTCATCATATGTAAATGTCCTTTTTTTTTGTTTGTCTGTGTTTGCTCGAGCGATTTTTCTTCTCTTTCTCAATATTTACGAAGACGATATATAGTTGCATTCCTTTCTTCTTTGGTTTTTCGTTTGATATTGTCATACACATACTGATTTCTAAATTATAATTCGCTTTTTTTTTTAGGTAAAAAAATACATATATAACATATACATGTTTAGGAGAACCATTCTTCTTCTTCTTCTTCTTGTTCTTTTCGTGTAACCCGTGATCTTTCTTTCTTGTTTTTTCTAGATCCTCTTGCATGCATTCAATCTATTTTGATTTATTCTATATTGTCCTTCGTTTTTTTTTCTTGTTTGTTCATATATACGGCATTATATTACGCATTAAAAAATTTAAGAAGCTAAAACAAAACTAAAACCGTTACATTATGATTAATTAGAGAAATATATAATATCATTGTCAACATTCTATTTAAAATAATTTTTGTGATCGTATGTGTTTCTTTACTTTTGTTCATTCCTATATTAATTCATCATATAATATATACACATTGAACTACGTCTGTAGCTCGCACATTTCTTATCATCATTTAACATAATAAATCTGTTCAAATTAGTTTATTTAAGAAAAGACAAATCATTTGAATAATAATTCAACTGAACAATAAGAATTTTTTGTTCAGTCAAAAACTAGTTAATAAAAACAATTCTCTATTAATTTTTTTTTACTTCTTCAGTTCTCTTTGTCAAACGGATATCTTTTAATATTTATTGAAATAAAGAAACAACTGAACTTGCTTCGAAAGTATTATTGACAGTTTTTTTTTTATATATTTCGTAATATTAACCACAAACGACTGACATCTGTTATTCAATGTCTCATACCGATTGATTGGTACACCAGGCTTAAAGATGTTTAGCTGCAACGTGGATATGATTTCATTTTCTTAAAAGTCAATTCTATTATTTCCTTTTTTAGATAATTATTCTTATCGAACAAAATTATAATGATTATGGATTAAATTCTAAATTTATTTCATGGCATTTCAACAAGAATATTTTTCCATTCCGCCCATCACACGGGCTTATACAACCACATGTATTTTAACGACACTTGCAGTAGTGAGTGAAGATTTTCTTTTTCTTTTTTCTCTTTTTTTCGATATGAAATTCTCATATCATTATTCCGCCCTGTTAAATCGCACAACCTGCTCGTCAATTTCTGATATATCTCAATTACAAAGCTCAATTGTTCATGTATAATCGGATAGGAAAAAGAAAAAGACGAAGTAATTGATCGATGTCGTAATTTGTCAGGTGTCGGAATATGATAAAAAAAGATTCAAAAGTGTGATATTTTTGCAATTAGAACAACTGCCACATCATATAGATTTATTTATTAGTACCGTTATATTCAGTGAACAATCTCAAGTTATGTTTTCTATTAAAGTGATTCTCTTCTCTCCTCTTTATATATATTTATTCAATAATCCCTTTAGCTAGTTTTTTTTCCTTGCCAATCTTTCTCTCACTCTTTTACTTTAAGATGGCAGATGGCTGGTTGCTTAGAATGTAAGGTTGCCTTGAGCTATCGTCACTTATGTGAAGAGGTAAATAGAGAGAAAGGCCACTTGAACAATCGTCAATAAGTACCGAAGCACATCCTATTTATTTGTACTCATCCTTCCCAATCTACACTCTTTCTTTTTTTTTCTGTCAAATGAAACCTATCATGTTGAAGTTAATTCGTCTATATGTATGTTCATAATTAAAGTTAACAATAAAAGCCTGATCATTTATTTTCTAAACGGAAATTCGTTGAACAAACATTATTGAACGTGCGATATTGATGGACCTATGAATGAGCAGATGCGGATGTACACTGCTCGTGTATTTCATATCTCGAACGGGTGTTGAAGCGTGGCATCATTCAGTCGGCAGCAGGAAATATAAAGTAATAACATTATTATGTAGATGAGAGAAAAAGAAAGAGATCTAATCATGCATAAATATGATATCAGGTGTGTAATCAATCCGCCTCTCTTGAATACATTAAAGTGAAAAAATCGACATGCTTGTCTTTTATTTCACAATAAATCAAAGTTTAAAAAAAAAACAAATAAATAAAAAATAAAACGATTAACAGAAATGTAATTTTCATCTGCCGGAAAGAAATATATATTCATTGATTTTATTATTATTGTTTTATTTAGCAATTAGATTTTATTACAGCTTATCAACTTTATTTTAATCCAGAATTAGTTTTTAAAAAATTTCAAGTAATAAAAACAAATCATATAAAATTAATAATTCTCTCATTTTGTTTTGTTTTTTTTTTAATAATCTTATAGTTATGGAGATTAATAACTTGTTTTTGTTTTTATGGTGGAATTGGTTTTAATTTTTTTTTTAATTTATTATTTACATATCGTTATTGTCGTCATCTTGAAGAGGGTTCATTTCGTGGACGTGCTGCAGATTTTCTTTTTATGTTTCTATTTGGTGGAATATTAATGATATCAATGGCATTATTTGTTAATATTGTTTTTCTTGGTTCATCGTTAACAATTATGTTAGTCTATGTTTGGAGTCGTCGAAATCCTTTTGTTAGGTTTGTAGACAACAAAAAAAAAAGAACAATTAGTTTTTGGAATTATTTCATATGTTGATTATTTAGGATGAATTTTTTTGGTTTGTTTAATTTTCAAGCTCCATATTTACCTTGGGTACTATTTGCATTTTCACTTTTACTTGGAAATTCAGTTATTTTTGATTTAATGGGTATTATTGTTGGTCATATATATTATTTTCTTGAAGATATATTTCCACATCAACAAGGTGGTTTTCGTATTTTAAAAACACCTCATTTTTTGTATGTATAATTTTACATAATTTTCTTCATAATTTAGATTGATTGTTTCTTTTTTTTTTACAGACATTGGCTATTGGATGAAGTATCTCATCGTACGGATGAAAATGAAACACGTCCTAATGTTGACAACAATATAGGATTAGGTGCTGCTGGTGATTTTCATTGGCAGTGATCAAATATCTTTGTTGAAATATTGTTTTTTTTTTATTTCAATACTTTTCTTGTATATCGCTATGAATAAAAATACATAAATATATATCTGATATAGTAATTCTCTAATCTGGCAGCGAAAGAAAGAAAAAAAAATGAATTTATAAAATGTTAATTGCAAATTTTCAAGCGAACATGTGGACATTGTTACAATTAGTATCTTCTACATTCAATTTCAATTTTCTTCGATAAGTTTGCATGTTCTTGCACCTCCTTCTCTCGTCGTTCGTTCGTAAATAATTAAGTTTTGAACAAGATAGAATTGAATGAACGGTGACAATTTGATAGGCAATGAGTGTGTGTGTGTGTGTGTGTGTTGATAAGTCAACTCTTATCAGAAAAAAGACACACACACAAATGAGTTTGCTGTTGAACAAAATTGTCAAGGGACAGACATAGATAGATATATACATAGAACGACACCTCAATCAGGCCATTATCCCATCACGGGATGAGCACACGCGTCTAGAGATTCTAATTTTAATTGCTCTTGTATTCTAATTGGGATCATGAGATTCACCACAGACACACACACACACACACATACATACACTTTGTCAACAATGAGCAGAAGGAGATCTCTGTTTGACAATGATATAAATATTTGAAATGATCAATCAATATAATTTTTTATTTTCTTGTTCTTTTTTTTTTTTTCGTTTATTAAAATCTAGTTCTTTTTTCACATAAATATGTGACTGCTGTTTTCTCTTCCGGATGTGTCAATTATATTGACACGTGAACAATATATCTTCGATCTTCTAATCCTGTAAACGATGCGTCTTCGTGTTTAGGAAACAGGAAGAGTTCAAGTGTGCGCAATTTTATCAAGAAAATAAGGTATAGAATAATAGAAAACAGCAGTCTTGGTTAAATATATAAAGATAAAGAATGGGTGCCGCTAAATCGGAAATGAATTACTGATAGATTTATATCGGTGACCTAGTTTATATTTTATTTTAAAGTATAAGAACAACAATAAATTAGACAACAGGTGGGACAAGGGTTGTACTCCCTTCTTGTTCGTTATCCAATTAGTTTAGCATCGAGTGACTGTATATGTGTGTGTATATTTAACTAGATATTGTACGCCATACGACAACAAGTAGTAGTTGTAGACTCCGCCTTTCTCTCCTCCCTTGTTCTATCAACGATAGACACTCACCCATGATGTCTACGTAGACGAATACAATCAATAGTTTAATTGAGAGGAGCGTTTCCGAATAGGAAAAAAAAAACGAGAGAAAACTCCTGTGGTGATTATTAGAAAGAAAACAAAAAAATCTAATTTTTCTTTTTTTCTTATTCGATATCTTCAAAAAAAAACAAAACAAAAAAGAAGAAAAAAAATAAGATAAAGATGCAACAATGAATCTTCTTAATGTCTCTTTCTTTCTTTCTTTTCTACTACTGAAAAATCATGCATCATTGATCGTCTAGAACGAATATAAACACGTCTATTGTTCACAAAAGATTCAAGAGGAAAGCTTGCTATATTGTGAACGAGTACAAGTAGGGCCTCTGTATACATGTGTGTCACGCTCTCAACACCATTATCGTTAATTGTAATCCAATCGTCTTGCCTTCCTTATTCTATTCGTCATCAAAACGACAATGAGGTGTTCTGTCTGACTATATACATATAGATATATTATCTTAACAATAGATCGCATAAGCGAATTCACATTGAAGATGTGTTGCCTATGATAGTACAAATTGCAATTATAACTCTAGTAATAGCTTTTGTTAGTTTTCTGATCTTAACCGATCACGTAGACAACATCAATAAAAAATAATCAAACTATTCTTTCTTCTTTTTTTTTCGTACCAAAAATTTTCGAATAGAAAATGGAAACAAAAAAAAATAAAAAAAAAAAAGGAAAAAATGAGTGAAACAAGAAAAAATAAAAATGATGAAAAGGTTTTAACAAGCTGTTGCACACACCTATCTCGAACATGAAGCAAAGAGAAAAAAAAGAGACAAAATAGTAGCACAACAGGTTGCAATGATGATGACATCATGTAACACAAGGTAAAGGAAGGTTTTCTCTCTTGTATATCATTGATTTACTTTTTTTTTTCTTTTTCATATAGAGACAAGAAGGTCATATGCATAGTATGTTAGTTATCAGTGTATGTATATGTATACTCATATATATATATATATATATAAACGTTCACTTGGTAGAATCGATTTGATTGTATATATATACCTTGCAGGAGATATCGTCGTTGTTCAACTTTCGCCTATCCCCCTCATCAACAAAATTCAATGCTTGAGACCGTCAACACCTGTATGACAAGTGTATATATATGTATGCTCCCGTCGATTATCTACAAATTTTCTTCTCTCACTCTCTTCGATGCCTGACTGCTTGATAATGTTTGCGTTCCACCATGATGCTCCTGGAGGGTAAAGAAGGTACACACTTCCATTATCGTTCGTATGCGAAAGGAAAGAAGAGGTACGTTTGTTTATCTCTTCTCTTTCTGCAAATGGCAGCACCACCGGTATATTCTTTTTCTTCTTCGTCTTCTTTTTCTTATTCTATCTATCTTGGGATGGATGCCTCCATACGTATATATGCATCTGCCATCTCATCATCTTTCAATTATAAAGTAAACGAAATACTAGATGACTTCTCTCTTCAAGAAAAATAAATATTGCTAAGAAGAAAATGGGACAAACGATGATTGTTGCATCCCTAGAATTGGGAAAAGAAAGGTATGAGTGATGTAATGAAAGAATAATAATAATAATATTTCGTCTTATTCCAAAGCGGCACCAGGTGTTGAAAAGAAAACGACAGAGAGAGAGAGAGAGAAAGAAACGGTACTATCGAATAGATTAATATATAAAAAGAACAGGACGAACAGAGAAGCTCGACCGGTAGAACATATTTTGTACTCATCAAGTTGTAATAAGGGAAAAAAAAAGGAGAATAGTCAAACAGAGATAGTTCGAAAATTATCTTGACTTATTTTCTTATTTTTCATCAATTCATCAAGAAAATTAGATCAACTATACATTAAAATTGTGTTTATTTCCAATGTTTTTAATATGATTTTTTATGTTAGATTTTTTTCATTGTAAAAAATAAATCTTTTATTGTGATAATTATACTTATGCTGATATTTATTTTCTAATCTGATAATTTTTGAATCATACTACCCACGTCGCACACGCATAAATAGACAGCAGTACCATATATATACACGCTTTTTGTGCCGCCTCGCTTCTTTTTCATGCCCCCGCAGTACATACTTTTCATGTTAGACACGGTATTAGTTGTATATGCTGCAGCACATATGCGCAATGTGTGACAATACACATTATAGAAAAATCTTATTAAACGTGTGATTTTCCTTCTATGTCTTTTTCTACAAGTTATAGACTTTCTATTCACGTAATGAGGTTAACCCATCAAAAACAACATATATCAGAATATGCACAGAAGAGGTGACGATAATCAGGCACGTGTGTGTAAGAAGAGAAAAAAAGACTTATAGCTGATAAGAGGTGTGCATGTAAAAGAAAGACAGACAGAGAGAGAGAGAGAAAGAAAAAGATATCGAGGAAGAACATGACCATTTCTACTTTTCTCGTTTTCTGTTTTTCTTTCTTCTCTTTCTTAGTGCTGCTTCTTGCGCACCTATAAGAGGTGAGCAGAACAGAATGAAAACGTACGATGATTGGTGCGAGAGTAATGTGTATATGTTTATGCTTTTCTTCTTAGATTTTTTTTTCTTTTCCATCTCTCTCTCTCACGTCTCATTGTAATGTACCACTCCTACGTAGCACACGTTTCATTTCAGTAGCATCATCATCAGAACAGGGTAAGACACATACATATGCACATATCAGCAGCTTCTTTCGTGTGTGCCGAAGGTAGAATATCATCCTTCTGCTATTCGTTTGCAACGCGGTATACCCATCATCATCATAATCATCATCATCATCGTCGAAGAAGAAGAAGAAAACGAAGAAGAACGGTAAAGAGAGAAAGAATATAGATAGCAAACAAAATGCGTTCGTAGCATAGCATCGCTTGTTGTTGCTGACATTCTACAATTCTTTTTTTTTTCACGGTGTGTCTATTTATCTCTCTGTCTGTCTGTCTGTCTGTATGTTTTCCCTGACTGCACATCGATATACAAGACAATATGATAGTAACTGACTGGCAGGTATGTAAAGAATATTCATATGAAATATAGGAAAAAAAAACCCCATAGTATCTTTTATTATTATTATTATTATTATTATTATTATTATTATTATTATTAAAAGCAAAATGATATTTTTGATATTTCAAATACGAAAATAATAAATTCGATAAGGATATTTATTGAAAAATAAATATTCTTGGTTTTCTTGTTGTCTGTATAATTTGAAAATTGAACCTTAAATCTAATTGAATTAGTATTGAGAAAAAAAAATACAAAAAGAAACATTAAATATTGATTTTCTTATCAAAAAATATTTTTTTTCCTACAATCTTTTTGGCTCACGAGATTACAAATAAGTTTTCTCTTCTCTTATGCGTATACCATTCCTATGGAATTAGCAAATTTTTCTTGACATTTTTTCTCCGATGATGTGCTATGTGTGTGTATGTGTGTGTGTGCGTCTTAGCCTACTCTCGTTTTCCGATGCATCATCGTTCGTCTATTCCCGTTGAACTACGGAAATGAGAGTGTGTGCCGATGTGTGCAAGCACCGACAGACAACGAGCTAAAGAGGAGAAGATTGTTGCCGTTTTCTTTTTCTTTTTTTTTTTTATTCGAGAGTTTTTCTCGGTGTGTAGAGAAAAAAAAGAGTGAAGACAAGCAATGAATGCGTACGTCGATTAGCAATGCTAATATGTGTCAACCAGGCGCAGACTATGTATGTGATTGAAAACCTTTAGATAACGCGTTGCATGCATCTTCTTTTCCTCATCTTGTCTTCTATATTATATTTAT